AGTAGAAGCCAGAAGAATAATACCTTCCCCAGGTAGATGGGCGATAGCCATAGCCATAGCCACCATAGCCCAGGCCTCCATAGCCCCAGCCGCCAAAGCCACAGCCTAGGCCACGGAAGCTGCCACATCCACAGCCATAACCAGAGCCATAGCCATAGCCCAGGCCCCCATAATAGCTGCCGTAGTAGCTCATTGCGTCAAGATTCACAGATTTGGATGGATGTCAGGGTTTAGTTTGTGTGAGTGTGTATGGCACCATCTGCACAGGGACTTTTATACACTTCTAGCAGGAGGTGTGGCAGATTCATTTCAGAACTGCATAATTCCCATTAATGGACTTGCCTGGGCAGAATCACATTCTTGTCATTGTTTGTTGCCTGAGAAGAATTTCTCCAGCTCATTAAGGGTGTTTTTTCTTGATTTGCTGTTTCACTATGAAGACTCCAACACGGTTCTCATGCTTGTCATGAGAAATAATTGTAACGTTGCCAAACCTTAGGTGGTTAATGTGGCTGGTGCTCTAACAAGTCTTTATGGCAGCCCTCTCCTGGGACATTGTGACATTGTTCTCATTTCACAGCCTGATGACCTGACCTTATGATTCTGTCTCTTTTGAGCCATGTTGTTTGAGAACAAAGTGACAGCAAGTTTCAGGTTGGAGTTGAAATAATTGTGGGGAAAAATGTATGGAATTAGTGAATCAAAAAACCATTCCAAATGCACTAAACACAAACTGTCTCCCAATGTTTAGCAGCCATTGTCCTCAGGGATAGACATACAAAGAAAGGTCACCAGAGTCACTGTCCTCAGGAAGCTTCAACATTGGAAAAACAGTGAAAGCATGAAAACAACAAGGTACCTGCCACAAACATGGGGAATTGATGGGAGAAGACCTCAGAGGCAAAGGCACAAGCCCCCATATGTGCCATATATTTGATTATACTTGAGACTCTCTTGGACCAGGGAAAATCAGAGGTTACAGGAGGAGAGAAGAGAGGATTCTTGGAAGGGTAGACAACCAACCAGTGCAAAATCAAGCTTAAGTGATATAAAATTCATTGTCTGATCAAAAGCAGGTAGGCTACATTGGGCAGGACTATAAAGGGTGCAGAGGAGAATTAAGTGTACTGAGAACTATAATGGTAGGAAGGGGTCAGCTGATGAAGAGGGTGAAATGCCAGATGGAGGGTTTCTACTTAAACTAGTACAGAAGAGAAAACAACTATAGTTTACAAGATTATTGGTACAGTGATTTGGGATTTGGGGTAGTTAAAGTGGGAAAGGAGTTAGAAAAATATATTAGGACAATCCCCTTGATCAGAGGATGGATCTAGGTGGGAAGAAAATTGAGGCAGGGAGATCAATCAAGGAATCTTGCAGAGAGGGCAGTGAAAGCTGATCTAATATGGCAGCTGTATAAGCAAAAAGAAGCGTTTGGCTTCCAGAGACTTTGGGAAGACAAAAAGGAGACGTTTTGCCCACTGTTTGGATAGGTGTGATGGTACAGAGTGGTCAAGGCCTTCCCTGTGTCTGTGAACCTGTTTCCCCAGCTTGATGACAGCTCTCCTAAAAGCTGTAGAGAAGTTTTGAATAGATAAGTTGCTTTTGAAGAGGTAGGATAAGATCTGTTGTAGAGTTGTATTTTTTGAGATATGTAGGGGACATGAAGTTGAAATTGTCCAATTGGACTGGAGCTCAGGAGAAATTTTTGCCTGTATCTAGAGATGAAACAGTGAATGAGAGAGAGAGAGAGAGACAGACAGACAGACAGAGACAGAGAGAGACAAAGGGAGAGAGAGGTACCCTGAAACCCTGAGAACTTAGGAAGGTCTACTCTCTCACCACAAGAAAGAGCTTAGTTGAGAGGAAAGAAAAGAATGTTAGGGTCAAGAACCTGATTTCTAGGATCTTCAAAGTCAGTGAAAAGAGTGCAGGGAAGGACTCTAAGTAGGCTCCATTGATTGCAGTACAGTCATGGACTTTTTAAATGTGGAAGTACTGGGAGGTGCTGCTAGTTTGAGTTTGGGTAGGCTCATGCATTTTGAGCATAGGTAGATGGCCAGATGGTCAAGTGAGTTCAGGTGAAATGCTCTTCTGGCATTTGAGATGTGGTAGTGAGTGTCAGAGAGAAAGCAACTGAGTCCGTGACAGATGAGGATGTTACTAACTGAGACAGTGTACAGAAAGAAGAGAAGGCAGGCTGTAGTTCTCTGGTTGTGGAGTGTCTCTGAAAGATTATAAATGACCATGTGAAAAATGAAGTCAAAATGGTTGGGACAGCAATAGACATCGCATCTCCCTTCCAGCTTCTAAATATCTCAAAACTTCACTCTAAAGGATAAACTTAATAGGATGCTATATAGGATGCTTAATAGGATGCAGACATTCCACTGTGATTTTGAGATTGCATGAAGAGGGGCATAAGAAACTAGATTTCAGGAAAACAGAGGTGATGTTGCAAATGCTCAGTGCATGGCTGGTCTGTGGCTGAGTTGTAGACCATTTAGAGGATTACAGCTCATTTGGAAGAAGAGCTTTCATCTCAGGGCTTATGACACTTCTTTGAAGATACTGGGACTCTTGGACTTGGAGGACACTCAGGGAATTTTGCCTGTCTTCTTAAAGTTTTTTTTTTTAAGGCTACCATGAAGTATAGCTACTAGATATATTTTATTTGTTTCCATGTGGGATAACTTGGATTGATAGATGATCTTTTCCCCCATAAACTTATTTCAACTTTGCTACAGAGAATGAATTGTTCTTTTCCCAATGAGAGCTGTGAAGTAGAGAAATAACCTTTTTCCTGAAGGGTTAGTTTCCACTGAAATGATTTTCATAGGATGTCTCCCAGAAAAGGATTGAGGAATCATTTTGAGATACATTTTGGGAGGAATTAAATGGAATGAGTCTACTGAGGACATTTTCCTTGAAAAGCCATTGGATCCACAGAAAATACATGCTTTTTTGTGAATGGAGAATAAGGGCTAGGAGCAGTGTATATAGTCATTCATTTTAAGATAAACTGAAAGAGGCATACAATGTATTGGTAGTATCACTTGTAGTGTTTCCTCCACTGCCTGAAACACTAGTTCAATCAATAACATTTTAATCAGTAAACATTTATTAAGTTCCTACTATGTGCCAGGTAGAGTAAACTCAGGCTTTTTTCCCCAAGGACCTACCTGAAAGACATGATTTTGGGGATCAAAAATCCAAAGCCAGTCTGTGCAGCAGTAAAGCTGATATTCTCTTTCCCTGGGAGTTTGAATTGATTAGTGAGTTCAGGGGTTTGAGGGGTTTGAGAGACATTCTTTAAAAATTAACCTTCTTCTCTTGTGGATGGAAGGGCCTCAGCTCAAGGGCAGTGCTGTGAAGTGGACTGGCTCTGCAGTTGGCTGGAGGAGATGGGAGCCATCAGAAGGGCACGGTTTCAGCACTACCTTCAGGCCTGGTAAATGACTCTTTTCTTTTTTTTAAAATTAATTTATTTTGAATTATCAATAATCACTTCCGTAGACTTTTGAGTTCTAAACTTTTCTTTCCTTTCCTCCCCACCTTCCTCCCCAAGATGGCACCCAATCTGTTATAGGCTATACATATACATTCCTATTAAACATATTTTCACATTAGTGATGTTGTAAAGAAGAATTAGAACCAATAGGAGGAACCACCAGAAAGAGGAAACAAAACACAACAGAAGAAAAAAAATAGCAAATAGTATGCTTCGATCTGCATTCAAACTCCATAGTTCTTTCTTCATATGTGGATAGCATTTTCCATCATGAGGCCTTTGGAGATGTCTTAGATCCTTGTATTGCTGGGAAGGGTTAAGTCTATCAATATTAGTCATCACACAATGTGGCTGTTACTGTGTATAACACTCTCCTGGTTCTGCTCACTTCACTCAGCATCAGACCATACAAGTCTTTCCAAATTTTTCTGAAGTCTGTCTGTTCATCATTTCTTATAGCACAATAGTATTCCATTATATTCATATACCACAACTTCAGTCATTCCCCAACTGATGGGCATTCCCTCAATTTCCAATTCTTTGCCACCAGAAAAAGAGCTGCTATAAATATGGTACATGTGGGTCCTTTTCCCATTTGTATGATCTCTCTGAGATATAGCCCTAGAAGTGCTATTGCTGGGTCAAAGCTATGACTCTTTCCTATCGTCTTTAAGTGTGCCATTTACTTATGCAGCTCTCCATAACTTCAAATTGGTGAGTGATAACAAAGTGGTGAAAGACAAGTAGAAAAGTAATGGGCTAATCCACATTCTGAGAGTCATCAGGGACACTTGGATCTGGAAGTGATGAACTGTGAGCATGAGGTGATGAACATATGACTCTTTGAGAAACCCTGAACATAAAAACCCTAGCAGTATGAGCGTACAATGTGAGAGAGGTGGCGTGGGCTATAGAGGGAAATGTCTTGCCATTGGCACAATTGGAGCCTGGATATCATGAAACACTAAAACTTAAGGAAATGATGTTTTTTTTAAATACTATTCAAAATGCAGAGCTATCACTTCATTGCAAAAGAAGAACTGGAGAATAAGTCTGCAATGATGCAGAAGAGTAGGTCAAAATTGAACATCTCTTCACAGTATGAGGCCAAAACCCAAGTACAGTGAGATCAAGAAGGAGTGGGGAAAAGAGTTTTGCTAAGCTAGTGAAACACATCTTAACGGACGCTTCATCTGGGTTAAATCAGAGCTGAACAAACTTACTGGAAATAGGTTGTTGTTGGGGGAATCTCCTTCATGAAAGGAGAGACTTTGCATCATTTCCCAGAGGAAAATTCATCTTGCTCATTGTTCTGTGACACTTGGCTGCTCTGGGTGCTCCATAGGGATTCCAAGACCCTCTTTTGGTAACTCTTCTATCCCACCCAGCCATATAGGCCGATGAGATTTGATATTTTTACAAAGTCATGGAATTATCCCAGAGCATGGTGGTAACATGTATTCCATGACAGCCATGGAGTAAGCAATTTTTAGTAGAAGTCATAGGAATAAAACCTTCCACAGGAAGATGGCTGGCAGTAGCCATAGCTATAGCCACCATAAACTGGGCATCCACAGTCACAGCCACCAAAGGCATAAGTGAGGCCATGGAAGTTGCCACATCCACAGCCATAACCAGAGCCATAGCCATAGCCCAGGCTTCAGTAGCAGCTGCCATAGTAGCTCACTGTGTCAGGATTAATTTAGTTGGATGAATGTCAAGGGTAGGTTGTGTGAGTATGTTTAATATGATCTGCATAGGGACTTCTAGACACTTTCAGCAGGAGACCTGGTAGATTCTCAGCAGAAATGCACATTTCCAATTAATAAACTTGTCAGGGAAACATCACATCCTTCTTATTTTTTGTTCCCTAAGAACAATTCATCCAACCCATTGAGTGTTTTCTCTCCATTTGCTATTTCTCTGAGAAGGCTCTGCCATGATCTTGTTCCTGTAATGAGAAATGATTACAGTGTTGTCAAAGCCTATATAGTTTATGGTACTGGTGCCCTACCCAGGCTTCATGACAGCCATCTCCTGTGTGGCACTGTCCTTCTTCCATTATAATTGTCACCCTGGCCTTCTGACTCCTTAGGTAGGTGGTTGAATCCTGTCTCTTTTAATCAGTACTGTTTGAGACCAAATTAGCAGGATCCCACACGTTTCAGATTGGAATTGAGATGATGGTTAAGCATCAATGTATGGAATAGGTCAATCAAATTACCATTCTGAAAGCACCCCAAGCACTTCTCCAGTGCTTGCGATGTGCCAACAATTGTGTTAAGTGCTGGGGATACAAAGAAATGTCAACAGAGTCCTTGCCCCTGGGCAGCTCTAAAATTCCAAGATCAATGAGAACTCCCACAAACAAGGAGAGCTGGTGGGGGATCACAGATGTGAAAAGTGGTAACAGCACTTGTTATAGGTGGGATTAGAGCTGATACTCAAAGGGAGCAGGGAAAATCAGAGGGGAAGGGAAGAGAAAGGAGAACAATCTGGGCAGGTTGGTTAGCAAGACAAGGAACAGGGACATGCAGTTTCTCAATTCTGGGAAAGCTTTCAAGGGACAGACTATAAAATGTGGAGAGGGGAATAAACTATACCAAGATTGAAAAGGGAAGAGGCTAGTTTATGAAGAGGGTGAAATACCAGACAACAGTATCAATTTGTACTAGCACATAACAGGAGGCAGCAAGAATTTACCAGATAACACGTGGCCTGGGGCTTTTGAATGTTGGAGGGAGTGAGGAGTAAGATGAATGTTTTAGGAAAATCCCTTGGGCAGCTGAGTGGAGGATGGATTGTACTAGAAAGAGGATTGAAGTGGGGGGAGCAATCACAAAGCCCTTGCAGAGAAACATTGTGAGGTCCTGATCTAAGAAGGAGACTGTATGAGTGGAAAGAAGGATAGGTATTTCAGGGGTGTGGTCCAGGTTAGAAGGACAAGTTTTGCCAACTGGTTAGGTGAAATGACAGAGAATTTTTAAGCATGTCTCTGAAGGTCTGAATCTGAGTTCCTGGCAGCAGGCGGGTGCTATTAAAGTGGCAGAGAGGTAGGCTGCTTTTAAAGAAGTAGGATGAGGAGCTATGCTCTAAACTTGGAGGCTTTGTGATGTCTAGGGCGCCTCAAGTCGAAATTGCATACATTGACAATTCATGATGTGTGACTGGAGCTCAGGAGAGATGTAGGGCTGGAGCTGAAGTTATGGCAGGGAGTGGCAGGAGGAAGGTCTCTGAAGCCTTGTCTCTGAAGCCTGAGTCTAGCCTCTTGCCCCTGGAGAAAGCATAGCAGAGAAGAAAGAAAAAAGACACAACCTTGGGGTTCAGTCAGAGTAAATGTGAATGACATGACGTGATGGTGAACTAGTTAAAATGAGCAAGAAGGAACAGTCAAGCAGGAAGAACAGTATCAAGCACACCCAGGATCTCCAGTTAGCCAGAAGAGTCAAAAGCCAAAGGGGAGCCAAGAAAAAAAGGGGATTCAGAAGAGGGCATTCATTTGGGCAATGAGGACATCACTGGGAACTTTGTAGAGAGCAATTGTATTGTTTCCTCCATTGTCTGAAAAACAAGTTCAATCAATAAACATTTATTTAGCACTGACTATGTGCCAGGTAGAGTGGTAAGCTTTGGCTTTTTTCCACCATGAACTGAGGGACTTCATACCAGGGATTATGTTGGTCCACAGAACTGAGGAATCCAAAGGACTTGACACAGTTTGTGGGGCAACAAAGTAGATGTTCTCTTTCCCTGGGAATTTGAGTTGATTAGAGAGTTCAGGTTTTTAGATGATTTGCAGGATTGTCTTGCAATAACACTTCCACAGTGGAAGAATGGGCCTCAGCTCGAGGGCAGTGTTGTGTGTTGGACATGGCGTGTAAGCCACTGGAGAAGAGGGGACCCACATGATGGGTAAGATTCCATAATAACCTACAGACCTGATAAATGACTATCTTATGTAATTTTTGTGGTGTGCCAGTCACTTTTGTCTCACTCCAAAACTTCAAATTGGTTGATTATAACGAAGTAGTAGAAGAAAGCTATAGAAGGGATAGGCTAAGCCAGATACTGACAGTCATCAGGCACTTTTGATCTGGAGGCGATGAACTATACGACGCATGAGACAATGAACATGTGAATCTTTGAGAAACCCTGAAGATAAAGCCCCTGTCTGTGTCCAGAATGTGGGAAAGGGGTCACAATTTATAAGGACAAGTTCCATGACTTTAGCAAAATGGAGCCTGGGCTAAAGTACTAAAATTTAAATATTGTAGAATTCAAATTCTACAGGGCAACTAAGTGGTACATTGGATGGAGTACTGGGCCAGGAGTCAGAAAGCCTAGTCTTCCTGAATTCAAAGTCTCAGATGCTAACTAGCCTATGTGACCTTAGGCAAGTCACTTAACCCTGTTTGTCTCCATTCCTCATTTGTAAAATGATCTAGAAAAGGAAATGGCAAACCACTCCCATATCTTTTCCAAGAAAACCCCAAATAGGGTCATGAAGAGTTGGATGTGACTGAAACAACTGAACAACAACAAAAGAGCTTAAATTTTAGAAAGACATTTAATAAGGAAATAGTGATTTTTTAAACAGCAATCTCTTCACTATATGAGGCTGAAACCTGAGTACAGGGACTTCAAGGAAGAGAGGTGAAAACAGTTTTGCTAAGTCAAAGAAACAAGTTTATTATAAAGTTGTAACAGACACCTCAGCTGTGGTATGTCAGAGCTGAGCAAACTTACTGGAAATGAGCTGGCATTGGGGGAGTCTCTCCCGTGAAAGGTGAGATAGTACAGCTTTTCCCAGAAGGACGAGTCCTGCTGCTTCTTAGTCTCTGTCACTTCAGTACCCTGAGTGCTCTGTAAGGATTCCAAGACTCTCTTGTAGTAGCTCTCCTATGCCACCCAGCTATAGAGGCAGATGGAATGTGATGACCTTATAATGCCATGGAATTATGCCAAGCTGGGTCAGACAAGGATTCCATGACAGACTTGGAGCAAATGGTTTTTCAGTAGAAGTCAGAAGAATAATACCTTCCATAGCAAGATGGGCGGCAGCATCCATAGCCATAGCCACCATAGCCCAGGCCTCCATAGCCATAGCCACCAAAGCCATAGCCTAGGCCATGGAAGCTACCACATCCACAGCCATAACCAGAGCCATAGCCATAGCCCAGGCCTCCATAGTAGCCACCATAATAGCTCATCATGCCAGGATTCACGGATTTGGATGGATGTTGAGGGTAGATTGTGTGAGTGTGTACAGTACCATGTGCACAGGGGCTTTTATACTCTTCCAGCAGAAGGTGTGGCAGACTCATTTCTGAATTGTGTAATTCTCATTAATCAAATTACCAGGGCAAAATCACATTATCTTTGTTTGTTTCTTGAGAATAATTCTTTCAGCTCATTAAGGGTGTTTCTCTTGATTTGCTTTTTCTCTGAGAAGACTTTGCCAGGATCTCATTCTTATAATGAAAAATGATTATAGTGCTACCAAAGCTTATATGGTTAATGTGGCTGGTGCCCTACCCAGACTTGCATGGCAGCCCTCTCCCAGATGTCACTGTCCTTCCATTATATTTGTCAGCCTGGCCTTCTGGTTCTTTAGACAGGCTATGGAATACTGTTTCTTTTAATAAGTGTTTCTGGGAACTCAAGTGACAGAGCAATTCATGCAAATTTCATATTGGAGTTGAAATGATGATGGGGCACAACTATATGTAATATAGGTCAACCAATCATTTCAAAAGCACCTGAAGAACAAACTGCATTCTCAGTGTTTGCATTGTGCTAGCTTCTGTACTCAGCAATGGGAATACAAAGAAATGTCAACAGAGTCCCTATCCTCCCAACAGGGTTCTAAGGCCAATGAAAATATGAAAACGCCGGGGCACCTGCCACAAACGTGGAGAATTGACGGTAGAAGATCACAGAGGCAGAGGCACAAGCCACTGGGAGAAAGGGTAAGGCCACTTGCCACAGTCAGGATTAGAGCTAAGACTCTCCTGGACCAGAGAAAATCAGAGGGGAGGGGCAAAAAGAGGGGAGAATTCTGGGTAGGGTCAACAGCCAGTCAGTGCAAAAGAAAGCAGAAAGGATATGCAACTTGCACTGCTCAGTACATGGCTTGCCTTCAAGTTCCAGACCAGGTCTTCAGTTTAGGCCCTAGGACATTTACTTGAAGGAACTGGGAGTCTTGAGCTTAGAGGCCACTCAGGGGTTAGTGGTAGCTCTTTTCAGGTGTTTTAAATGCCACTATGTGGTACAAGTACTAGATATATTGTGTCTGTTCTCAGGTGGGGGAACATGGATCCAGAGTTGCCATTTTCCCCTCATAAACTGATTTTCAACTTTCCTAAAGAGAATGAAATATTACTCAAATAATTGGTGCCCTGCTGGGCGCCTACAGGTGAGAGGGGTAGAGAAATCAGAAGAATGCTTTAGGAAAATGCCTTGGGCAGCTGAGTGGAGAAGGAAGAAAACTGAGGCAGGGAGGCCAATGAAAGGCTCTTGTAGAAAGGTGTTGTAAGGGTTTGATCTAAGGGGAGTATTGTGTGAGTGGAGAGGTGTCAAAGAGAGAAATGATTTTCTTCCTGAAGGATTAATTTTCACTGAAGTGACCTCCAAAGAATGCCTCCTGGCAAAGGATTGGTAAATCATTTGGAAATGTGTTTTGAGAAGTGAATGAAATGATGCTGCTGAGGGCATTTCTGTAAAAAAAAACTAGTGTATCCATAGAAACAAATAGTTTTTTTTTGTGAATGGAGAATAATGACATGGAATAATATATAGTAATAGAAATTAATTTTTATTTTATTTTTGCTTTAATTTAGAAATTCATTATAAACTAAAAAGCAGTAAAAAGGATGAAATCTATTGGTAATAGCACTTGTACTGTTTTCACCACTGTCTGAAACACAATTTTAATCAATAAACATTTATTGAGCACCTACTGTGTGCCCGGCAGAGTGCTAAGCTCTGGCTTTCTTCCCAAGAATCCCTCTGAGGGACAGGATTACAAGGTACAAGTTGGTTTATGGAGTTGAGGAATGCAAAGGTGCCAAGGCCTGTTGTGAAACAGCAAAGTAGATGGTCTCTTTCCTGGGAATTGAGTTGCTTAGAGAACCCAGGTGTTGGATTTGCAGGATACCCATGCAGCAATGAGTCTACTTCCCCTGTTGAAAGGTAGGATTTAGCTTGAGGGCAATGTTGCAAGTTGAATCAACAGTGCAGGTGGCTGGAGGAGATGACAAACACCCAAAGGGAAAGTTTCCTTGACAACTTTGAGACTTGGTGTATGGTTCCCTTCTGTTGCCTTTATGTTGTTCCATTGACTTGTGCTGTGCTACAAAACTTAAAATTACTTGATAATAAAAAAATGGTGGAAGACAGGTAGATAAAGTATAGGCTAAATTCTGGTAGTCCTTAGAGATACCTTGGATCTGGAGGTCATAAACCATGAACATGAGGGCCTCAACATGTCAATCCTTTTGAAACCTCAAAGATGAAATATCTCTCTGTGAGCACCAAAAACATTGGAGAAGGGAAACAGCTTATAGTTGGAAGCTGAACATTATGAAGTACTAAAATTGAAGTCCTACAGAAATCAAATTTTAGAAAGACATATAACAAGAAAATAATATATTATTTCAATAGAAAACTGGAGCAGTATCTCTTCATTGCAAAAGATGAATTGGAGAATAAATCTTCTGCAATGGCATACAAGCATAGGTCAAAATTGAAAATCTCTTCACAATGTGAGGCTGAAACCCAAGCATAGTGAGGTCAAGGAGACACGAAAACAGTTTTGCTAAGACAGTGAAAGAAGTTTATTAGAACATTGTAACAGGCATCTCAGCTGTGGCATGTAAGATTTGGGTAAACTTGCTGGAAATGAGTTGCTGTTGAGAGAGTGATCTCCCTCATGACAGGTGAGATTCTTCATCATTTCCAAGAAGGATGGGTCCTGCTGCTTCTCAGCGCCTGCCACTTCAATGCGCTGAGTGCTCCAATAGGAATTGCAAGTCTCTCTTGTGATAACTCTTCCATGTCACCCAGCAGTAGTGGCAGATACAATGATGTCCTTACGTGCTATGGAATTAGCTCCAAACCCAAGGATTCCTTGACAGCTCAGAAAGAAGTGGTTTTTCAATAGAAGCCATAGGAATAATACCTTCCACAGCAAGATGGGCGGTAGCAGCCATAGCCATAGCCACCATAGCCCAGGCCTCCAAAGCGATAGCCACCAAAGCCACAGCCTAGGCCCCGGAAGCTGCCACATCCACAGCCATAACCAGAGCCATAGCCATAGCCCAGGGTTCCATAGTAGCTGCCCTTACAGTAGCACATTTTGTCAGGATTCAGAGATTTGGATTGATGTCAGTGAGAAGTGGTGAGTGGCTATGGCACCAGATGCATGGGGAACTTTTATACACGTCCAGCTGGAGGTGTGGCAGATCTATTTCAAAATTGCGTCATTCACATTAATGAAATTGCAAAAGCAATATCACATTCTTTCCATTTTTTGGTTCCATGAAAACAATTACTCTAGCTTATTAAGGGCATTTTTTCTCAATTTGTTGTTTCTCTGAGAAGGCTCTGTCAGGATTTCATTCTTGTAATGAGAAATGATTATAGTGTTGCCAAAGCTTATATTGTTAGTGTGGGTGATGCCCAACTCATGCTTCATGGTAGCTCTCTCCTGGGGGGCATTGTCCTTCTTCCATTAGGCTTGCCATCCTAGTCTTCTGATTCTTGAGACAGGCTATGAAATCCTGTCTCTAATAAGTGCTTCTTGAGACTCAAGTGACAGAATCACACTAGTTTCAGGTTGGAGTTGTGATAGTCTTGGGGCACAACTGTATGGAATAGCTCAATCAATCAACCATTCCAAAATCAGTCCATGCACAAACCAGTCCTCCAATGTTTGCGTTGTGCCAGCCATTGTGCTCAGAGCTAGGGATACAAAAAATGTCAACAGAGTCCCTTTCATCAGGCTGCTCTAAAGTTCTAAGGCTGGTGAGAATATGAAAACAGCAAGGTATCTATGACAAACAGTTGTAGGGAGACTATCTCAGAGGCAAAGGCACAAGCTAGTAGGGGAAACTTGCAACAGGTGGGATTAAAGCTGAGATTCTGTTAGGTCAGGGAAAGTCAGATGGGAGGGGTAGAAAGAAGAGAGGATTCTGGGCAAGTTGGACAGCCAACTAGTGCAAAGGCAAACAGAAGAAACATGGAATGTGCTGTTCTAACTAAAGGCATGAAGTATGGTGAGGATAATAAAATGTATGAAGTCTAGAAAAATAGGAAGAGGCCAGCTCATGAAGAGCAAGAAATGCCTGGAAGGAGGTATCTATTTAAATCAACATAGAAAAGGAAGCAACTGGAGGTTACAAGATAATTGGTGCCCTCCTTGGCACCTACAGGTGAGAGGGGTAGAAGAATCAGAAGAATGTTTTAGGAAAATGCCTTTGGACAGCTGAGTGGAGAAGGAAGAAAACTGAGGCAGAGGCCAATGAAAGATTCTTGTAGAAAGGTGTTGTGAGGGTCTGATCTAAGAGGGGTATTGTGTGAGTGGAGAGCAGTGTTTGGCTGCCAGAGATATTGTGAAAGTAGAAAAGATTTTTTTTTTACCACCTGATCAGATAGGTGTGATGATAGGGAGGGGTGAAGGACTTTCCTGAAGCTGTGAACCTCAGTTCTTAGCTTGATATTGATGTTATGGAAAGGAGTAGAGAACTTGGGAATAAGTTGTTGCTGTTGTTATTCATCTTTCCTTTCCCAAAAGGACCAATGACATCATTGGGTGACGTCTTGACTTGGGCATGAATTGGATTTAAGTGAGGCAGAGTTATACAAAATCATCAGCTTCACTCTCTCTTACTGAATCATCAAAGTCCAATGGCAAGACAAAGTCAAGATGACTGCAGATATCCTCGGATGCAGTGGATGACCTTGGCATCTTCGATGTCTGACCAATCTCTAAGCACTCTACAATGCCTGCTTCAGACACATTCATGGCTGTTGGAACAAATTGTTCTTATCTGCCCATTCTGCTAAAGGAAGTATTCACATGCCTGGGGTAGACATCTCCCCGAGGTTACGCTCAACCTAGTTTAGCCCATCTCCAAAATGGTTTTTTACCTAGGTGTGGCTGCTGTGAATGATACAGCTTCTTGGAGCCACAGGTGATGGCTCAGTGACAAATAGACACTAAAGATGGATAAACGGTGCTGAAAAGAGCTCAGCAGACCATCACTGTAGTGGTACTAGTCCTCCCTGAACACTCCATATACCTGTGGGAAGAGGTAGGGTATTTTTAAAGAGGTCAAATTAGATCTGTTCTAAAGTTGGGGGCTTTAGATGTTTATCAATTTGAAATTTTCTAATCCGATAGTTCATGATGCGGGACAGGAGCTCAGAAGAGAACCAGGTCTGGGTGTAGAGATGTGGTAGTGAGTGGCAGAGAGAAGGTTCTTAAAGCCTTGAAACCTGAGGAGGATCTACTCTTTCACCCCTGAAGGGAAGCATGGTGGAAAGAAAAGAAAAGAGACACAACTTTCAGGTTCAGCCAAAGATAGTGGGCATGAAATAATGTGACAGTGGGTCAGCCAAAGTGACCAGGAAGGAAGTCAAGCTAGAAGAACATTATCAAATACCCAGGAGCACCAGTTGGTCAGTGGTGTCAAAAGCTGAAGGGAGGTTAAGAAGAAGGAAAATTTAGAAGTGGCCATTCCTTAGTTTAGGTCATGAGGACCTCACTCAGTACCTTGGAGAGCTCAGTTGTTTTTGAAGATGGGGGTGGTCAGGAAACGGAGTTCAGGCCTTTTTAAGACAGTGAAAAGATAGCAACCAGGGACTCTAAGTATGCTCTAATGACTACAGTATAGCCATGGACTTCTAAAATGTTCAATTCCTGATAATATGAGTTTAGGTAGGATCCTGCATTCAGGGCATGATTAGACACCAGCTAGGCATGTTAGTTCAGGGGAGATTTGGACTGGATCTGGACATGGAGTAGTGAGGGCCAGAAAGAAGGGAACTGAGGCCATGGCAGATGAGGAGGTCACCAACTGAGAGAACATGGTAGAGAAAAGAGAAGGCAGGCTGTAGCTTTTTGGCTGTGGAATTTCAGAAAGATTTCAATTGACCAGGAGAAAAATGAGCTCAAGGCATTTGGGGCAACAATATGTATCTCCTCTCTTCTCTCAGCTTCCAAACCTTTCAGAACTGCCCTCTAAAGGAAAAACAATCCCAATAGGATTTCACATGGCCACCAGAAATCCCACTATGACCTTGAAAATGTATGAAGAGGGGCTTAAGGAACTAGCCCTCAAGAAAATGGAGGTGGTGGTCTATCTGTAGCCTACTATGTGTCAGGTAGAGTGCTGAGCTTTGGCTTTCTTCCAAGAACCCCTCTGAGGGACAGGATTACAAGGGACATGTTGGTTTATGGATCTGAAGAATCCAAAAGCCCCAAGGCCTGTTGTGGAGCAGCAAAGCAGATGGTCTCTTTTCCCAGGAGTTGAGTTGCTTAGAGAGCCCAAGTGTTTGATTTGCAGGATACTCATATAGCAATGAGTCTACTTCCCCTGCAGAAAGGTAGGCCTCAGTACAAGGGCAGTGTTGTGAGTTGGATCAACAGTGCAGGTGGCTGGAGGAGATGACAAAGACTCAGACGGAACAACTTTCAGACTTGGTGTATGACTGCCTTCTGTAGTCTTTGTATTTCGCCACTGACTTGTGCTGTGCTACAAAACTTCAAATTGCTTAATGAAAACAAAATAGTGAAGACAGATAGACAAGGTATAGGTTAAATTCTGGCAGTCATTGGGGACACCTTAGATCTGGAGGTCATAAACCATGAACATGAGGCCCTGAACATGTCAATCTTTTTGAAATCTTGAAGATGAAAACCCTGTCATCGTGCGCAGAGAAAGTGGAATTAGGGAAATAGCTTATAGGTACAAATGCCTTACCTTCAGTAAAGTGGGGGTGGGACATTATGAAGTACTAAAATTTAAGTACTACAGAAATGAATTTTTAGAAAGATATTTAACAAGGAAATATGTTTTTATTTTCAGTAGAAATCTGGAGATATGTCCCTTCATTGCAAAAGATGAATTGGATAATAAATCTTTTCCAACATAGGTCAAAATTGAAAATCTCTTCACAATGTGAGGCTGAAACTCAAGCACTGGCAGGTCAAGGAAGAGAGGTGAAAACAGTTTTGCTATGCCAGTAAAACAAATTTATTAGAACATCATAACATACATCTTAGCCATGGTGAAATTGGAACAAACTTGTGGGAAATGAGCTGTTGTTGGGGGCAGGAGAGATTCTGCATCATTTCCAAGAAGGGCAGGTCTTGCTGCTTCTCTATGCCTGCCACTCTCTATGAGTTCTTCATATAAATTCCAAGGCTCTCTTCTGTATCACCCAGCCTTAGAGGTAGATGGAATGTGATGTCCTTACTAGGCCATGAAATTATCTCAAGCAGGGTCAGACAAGGATTCTGTGACACTGGCGGAGCAGGTGGTTTTTTAGTAGAATCCGGAGGAATAATACCTTCCACAGCAAGATGGGCGCCAGCAGCCATAGCCACAGCCACCATAGCCTAGGCCTCCATAGCCATATCCACCACAACCCAGGCCTCCATAGCCATAGCCGCCAAATCCACAGCCTAGGCCATGGAAGCTGCCACGTCCACAGCCATAACCAGAGCCATAGCCATAGCCCAGGCCTCCACAGTAGCTGCCCTTACAGTAGCTCATTTTGTCAGGATCCACAGATTTGGATTGATGTAAATGAGAAGTGGTGAGTGGGTACGGCACCAGATGCATGGGAACTTTATACATGTCCAGCTGAAGGTGTGGCAGATCTATTTTAGAACTGCGTAATTCACATTAATGAAATTGCAAAGGCAATATCACATTCTTTTCATTTTTGTTCCATGAAAACAATTGCTCTAGCTTATTAAGGGTATTTTCTCTCAATTTGTTGTTTCTCTGAGAAGACTCTACCTGTATTTTCATTCTTATAATGAGAAATGATTATAGTGTTACCAAAGCCTATGTGGTTAAATATGGCTGATGCCTACCTCGCCTTCATGACAGCCATTTCCCAGGTGGCATTGTCCTCCTTCTAGTATGTTTGTCATTTTGTCCTGATTCTTTTCACAGGCTGTGAAATTGTGTCTCTTTTAATATGTGCTTTTTGAGGCTAAAGTGACAGAATCATACTAGTTTCAGATTGGAGTTGAGATGATGGTGTGTCACAACTATACGGAATAGTTTTAAATCAAACAAAGACAATGAAAGGAGAGCAGGGAGAGTTCCTGGGTGGGCATCAAAGACCACACAGTAAATCCATCAACCTTTTAATTGTAGAAGTACCGGGAAGTGCCTACAATATGAGTTTACATAGAATCATGCATTTTTAGATCATTGCATATTTAAGCAACCAGTGGAACAAGAGAATTCAGGGGAAACACTGGGCTGGACCTGGAGATGGTAGAGAAGGGAGTTGAGCCCAGGGCAAATGAAGTCACCAACCGAGAGAATGAAATGGAGAGAAGAGAAGGCAATCCGTAACTCTGGTTGTGAAGAATCTCAGAAAGACTTCAATTGACCATGAGAAGAATGAGGTAGTTGGGGCATCAATAGGTTCTCTTCTGAGCTCCTAATTCTTTTATAGGTCTACTCTAAAGGATAAGTAACCTCAATAGGTTGGACATGACCACAGAAATCCTACTGTGACCTTGAGATTACGTAAAGAGGGGCTTAAGGAACTAGCCCTCAAGAAAATGGAGCTAATGGTTTATCTGGAGTGCCTCTTGAGAAGTACAGACCTGGCAGTAAAGGGGCTTCCAGTTCAGGCCCTAGAACATTCATTTGAAGGAACTGGGGGGTCTTAGGCTTACAGGATCCTCAGGGTTAGATAGTGCTAGCTCTCACAAGGAGTTTTAGTGGCCATCACATGGAATAGGTATCAGATCTATTTTGATTTTCCCCAGGCAGGAGAATTTAGATCTAGAGGTGGCGATTCCCAATCAGAAACTCAGAAACTGAATTTTGACTTTGCTGAAGAGAATGAAATATTCTTTGCCCAAAGAGAGCTGTCCAAGAGAGAAATAATCATCTTCCTGAAGGATTAGTTTCCACTGAAGTAACTTCCATGCAATGTATCCTGGCAAAGAATTCATGAATCATTTGGAGATGTGTTTTGGGAAGAATAGATTGAAATCAGGCTGCTAAGAGAATTTCTGTAGAAAAGCAATTGGATTCATAGAAGTGGACAGACTTTTTATAAATGGAGAATAATGCTTAGGAGCCATATGTAGTAATAGAAATTCATTTTAAGCTAAAAAACAGCAGCAGAATAAGATCCATTTGTAGTGGCACTTGTCTTGTTTTCTTCACTGTTTGAAACAAAAGTTCAATTAATAATCATTTATTAAGAACCCATTATATGCTGGATAGAGTGCTAAGCTCTGGCTTGTTTCCTGAGAACCCATCTGAGGGACATGATTATGGGGCCATCATATGAAGCTCAGGAATCTAAATGCCTCAATGCCAATTTTGGAGAAGCAAAGCTCTCTTTCCCTGGGAGTTTGAGTTGATTAGAGAGTCCAGGTGTTTGAATGATTTTCAGGACTCTCTTGCAAGAATGAGTCCACATCCCCAGTGGAAGGGTGGGCTTCAGATCCAGGGCAGACTTGAACCAATAGTGCAGGTGGCTGCAGTAGATGGCACCCACCCAACAGGAAAGTTTCCATGACAACCTTCAGACTTCGTATATGATTCTCTTCTGTATTCTATGTCGTGTGCCAAAATTACTTGTGTTCTGCTCCAAAACCTCGAATTTCTTGGTGATAATAAAGTGGTGGAAGACAGATAGATGAGGGAGAGTCTAAGCCTAATTCTGAAAGTCATCAGGGGCACCTTGTATCTGGAAGTCTTAAACCATGAACATGAGGCCCTGAACATATGAGTTTTTGGAAACCTTGAAGATAATCCTGACCACATACATAGAGAACATGTGAGGAGGGTTATAGCTTAGAGGGACAGATTCCTTATCTTTGGTAAAGTTGGAGTTAGATATTATGAAGTACTAAAATGTAAGTGCTGTTGAAATAAAATTTTAGAAAAACATTTAATAAGGAAAAATACACTTTTTTTCAATAGAAATTTGAAGAGGTATTTCATTGCAAAAGGTAAATTGGGTAATAAATCTTCTGCAATGATGCAGAAGAGTAGGTCAAGAGGAAAAATCTCTTCATGATGTGAAGCTGAAACCCAGGTATTGGGAGGTTGAGGAAGAGAGGGGAAAACAATTTTGATAAGAGAGTGATGCAGGTATATTAGAACATTGTAACAGACACTTCAGCTGTGGTGTATCAAAGTTAAGCAACCGCACTGGAAATGAGCAGTTGTTGAGGGCATCTCCCTCATGAAAGGTGAGATTCTGCATCATTTTTCCTGTCCTTTTACTTCTTAGTGCCTGCCAGTTTGCTGCTCTCAGTACTCATTAGGGATTCCAAGGCCCTGTTGTGGTGTCTCTTCCAGGCCATCCAGCCATAGAGGCAGATAAAATGATGTCCATACAATGTCATGGAATTAGCCCAAAGCAGGGAGGGACAAGATTTCTGTGACAGGCCAGAAGCAAGTGGTTTTTCAGTAGCAGCCATAAGAATAATACGTTCTACTGTAAGATGGGTGGCAGCAGCCATAGCCATTGACATTAGACCATAGCCTAGACCGTGGAAGCTACCTCATCCACAGTCATAGCCCAGGCCCTCATGGTAGTTGCCATAGAAGCCCATTGTGTCTGGGTTCACAAATACAAATGGATGGCAAGGGCAGGTTGCGTGAGTGTGTATAGCACCATCTGCACAGAGCTTTTAGACACTTTTAGAAGGAGGTGTGGCAGTTCCCTAGCAGAAATGCATATTTCCTATTAACAAGCTCATGGGGCAAAATCATGTTCTTGTCATTATTTGTTCCATGAGAACAGTTCCCCCAGCTCATTAAGGGTATTTTCTCTTGATCTGCTGTTTCTCAGAGAAGGCTTTGACAGGTTCTCATTCTTGCAATTAGAGATGATTATAGTGTTCCAAAGCCTATGTGGTTAATATGGCTATTGTCCAATCAAGGCTTCATAGCAGCCCTCTCTCAGATGTCACTGTCCTCCTTCCATTACACTTGACAGACTGGTCTTCTGATTCTTTTGGCAGGCTATGAAATCCTGCCTCTTTTAATAAGTGATTCTTGAGACACAAATGACAGAATTACGCAAGTTTCAGATTGGAGTTGAGGTGCTGATGGGACATTCTCTCATTTCTTTTCCCAATTTTTCTCCCACCTCTCTTTTTTGATTTTTAAAATCCTTTTTTAGCTCTTTCAGGAGAAATTTTGGAGCCTGAGACACATTCATATTTCTCTTTGAGGCTTCACATATAGGCATTTTGACATTGTTGTCCACTTCTGAGTTTGTGTTTTGGCTTAATTTCTGGTCTATGTTGTGACTTTTGAGATTGAGCTCTGGTCCTGGGGTACCAGGTGAATGTCCCAAGCTTCTTGAATGAAAGGCAAAGGACTAGTCACTGGCTTTCTGTGCTGGGGCCTCTGGGGCTGGCAGCTTACCTGCTGCACTGGAGTCCCCCAACCTAGTCTAACTGGCTGTGCTAGGTCCTCCAGTTCAGGGGAGATTCTGGGCTGGAACTGGAGATGGGATAGCGAGTATCAGAGAGAAGGGAACTGAGCCCATAGGAGATGAGGATAGTGAGATAGTGTAGTGGAGAGAAAAGAAAGCAAGCTATAGCTCTCTGGTTGTGGAGCATCATGGAAAGATTTCTATTGACCAGGAGAAAAGTGAACCCAAGGTAGCTGGGTCAGAAAAAGTTGCCTCCCCAATCCTCCCAACTTCTAATCCTCTCCCAACTCTTCCCTAAAAGATAAGGAATCTCAGTAGGATATCACAGGAAAACCAGAAATCCCACTTGACCTTGAGATTGCTACTACTAACACTAGTACTAGGGACTAGTACTCAGGAAACTGAGGTGATGGTCTGTCTGTAACCCACACTGCTCAAGGCATGGCTTATCTTTTATTAACATTGTGAGCATACAGAGGAGTACAGATTTAATCATAGAAGGGCCTCTGGATCACACCCTAACAGATTTACTTGAAGGAACTAAAACTCTTGGGCTTAGAGTTTACTCACAGAGTTATGCTAGCTCTCTTATGGTGTTTTAATGTCTACCATGTAGTATAGGTACTAGTTCTATTCTGTTTGTCCCCAGAGGGGAGAACATGGATTCAAAGGTGGCATTTGCCCCCTAAAACTGATGTTCAATTTTGTTCAAGAGAATGAAAATTTTTTGCCCAATGAGAGCTGTCCAATAGAGAAATGATTTTTTTTCTGAAGGATTTGCTTCCAATGAAGTGACTTCCATAGAATGTCTCCTGACAAATGATTGGTTAATCATTTGGAGATATAGTTTGGGAGGAATCAAATGTAATGAGGCTGCTGAGGACATTTCTTTCAAAAAGCTGGTGGAGCCATAGAAATGGACAGGCTTCTTGTGAATGGAGAATAATACTAGCAGTGATATATAGTAATAGAAATTCATTTTAATTTAATAATCAGCAGGAGGAATAAGATCCATTGGTGGTGGCACTTGTACTGTTTCATCTACTTCCTGAAACACAAGTTCGATCAATAGATATTTATCAAGAATCTAGTATATGCAGGCAGAGAGCTAAGCTTTGGCTTTCCTCCCAAGAACCCATCTG